AACACTGATATAATTGTTACATTGCTATAATAAAACGGAATATAACAGGTAATATAACGTGTACGTTACATGTAACATCCATGTTAGTTGTAATTTCCCACTCATAGATGTAACATTTTAATATAACATATATTACATTGTAGTTATATTGTAATTATATACCAAATAGCACATTAATGTATTGATAAGTCAATGCTATCTTGGGATATATATAATGACAATATAACTACAATGTAATATATGTAATATTAAAAATGTTACATATATCTATGAGTGGGAAATTACAACTAACATATACGTTACATGTAACCTTAGAGCATATATACCTGAAGGGGGAATTGCTTTGTCTGTCGTGCTAAAAATCTATGTCCAAGTTTGGTGCAAGAGAGAAAGATAGCTTTTAACCTTTATCCGCAATGCGCAAATGTAGATGACGTCACGGTGACGTCACGCTCACCGCGCCGTTTGAAACTGGAAATGTAATTGGTGCTTTCGCTAATTCGCGTTTGCGCATTGCGAACGGAGGTAACAATCTACCCTTCTCTTTCCTTAAAAACGTGGTTCTCTCTTGCACCCAACTTGGACACAGTTTTGCGCTCCTATTCCCCTTCCATATCTATATGTTCTAACTGTAAGCATGTAACATGCTTGAGTATATAACATTTATATACTGTGTTTGCTAGAAACATGTATGTACATACATAAATATTTATTACTTATATGAATTTTTTAAACAATTTTTGTGTTCTACGTTAATAAATTTTATTAAATATAAATTATTTAACATTTTTATAAATATGTTTTAATAATAATATATGTTTTTCAATTATAGCATTTATAAAAATAATTTACAAAATTCTAATTTTTAATTATTTAGAAACTGATTTTGATATTGATTTTGTTATAAAATTGATTTACAATAAAATCAAACGTTTTTTAGAAATAAAGATCTTTTAAATTATACACTATATGAAACTATGGTATCTGATTTTACGAATAAAATATTTTTTATTTTTTATATCTACATGTTTCAAATGTAAATAAAAGTTAATGCAAAAAATTCTTCAAATTTTGATCTTTAACATTTATATAATATTATATTGGTAAAAATGGATACTAGTATAATTTTGTTAAATCTTTACATGTAAAATATATCCCATTATCCTCCCCTATTTTCTTTTTATAATTAAAAATAAAGTAATAACATTATTTAACATATACAGGGTGTCCCATAATTCGAGAATCACCTTTCATGGGCAGATAGAGCGTGTTAAACTGAATAGAAAATTCATGTATCATTTTGCGATATTCGTAATAATTATTGAGTTATTTATTAAAATATCTAAACGAATAAGCAAGTAGAAAGCATTATTTGATCGAGAGGTGGCGTCATGCAGCGAGCGGCGACCAATGTAATGGCGCCGAAAAGTAAGATGATACTTTTGATACTAAGCGGTACATGCACACCGAGTCCGGCCTACCGCTTTCTACCCGCTCATTCGTTTAGATATTTTAGTTAATAACTTAATAATTATTACGAATATCGCAAAATGATACCGGACTTTTCTATTCAGTTTAACACGCTCTATCTGCCCATGAAAGATGATTCGCGAATTATGGGACACCCTGTATATACTTATCACGTACTTATAATTCTAGTGTATTTACAATATTTATATTTCTTTTTATATTTCTACCCATACAGCACTGATAGATTGCAAAAACATTACAACAATCTTTCACCGCAATATTGCAATATTGCAAATTCACTGCAAAATGTTGCTACATCATTGCTGTTGAATTGCAGCAATGTTAAAATGTCCGCTTTTTGGAAGATTGCAACAAAATATTACAACAATATTGCAATGTTATGAATTTGCAATAATGCATTGTTATTGCAACCATAAACTAATGTTGCATATACAGGTATATACATGTAAATAAATCATTAATGAAAATACGTTGTAGTTAATTTATATATATTACAATATATAAAGTATAGAATTTGGATTACATGCAATATTTCCGAAATATTAATGTCATGTTGCTACAAGTGTGCTGGAATTTTGTGCACCTATATCTCTGCAATGTCTTTATAATGTTGCATTGCAACTTGCAATATTGCAACGTTGCTGCAATATAATTGCAATAATCTGTGCTGTATGGGTATCTACACTTTATATTGAATAAACAAATATAAGAATATAATATATTTATAATAGAATGTTTTATATAATTTATTTACAGAAAAATTATTTTAAAGAATTAAAATATCAAACAGATATATATTATTATATTTTTATTAATTTTTGGTAAGTTTTAAATTAATATTTTACATTATTCATTACATATACTTTATATTATTTTACAGTATTTATTATATCTTTTTGTATTTGTATTTAAACTTTATTATATTTTTAATATTCCAGGTAGCAAGTATTAATACACACATTTATGTATATATACATTATACATATAAAAATATTTATTTCCTGCAAAAAAAATCTCAAGTAGCAAGCTCGTCATTAAACATCAAAATGACGTTATTTTGACGTTTAATGGCGTCAGCTTGCTACTTGAAATTTTTTTGAAGGAAATAAATATTTTTATATGTATAATGTATATATACAAAATGTGTGTATTAATAATTTAAATTGTAGTAAAAAAAGGATTATTTTGTTACTTTTTTATGAAATTACTTTTTCCATATTGTAAAGTGTAAAAATTATACTATTTGATAAAACATGAATAGTTATTTAAAAAATTTGATTATTTTTAAAAGATAAAATATATACAAGTCGTTTTTTAAATTATAATGAATATTTATTCTAAATAATACAAAATAGTAAGAATAGCAAATGTAAATGTGCGTGTGAGAGTATGTGTGCATACTAAAATCGACAAAAATAATTGATAAAAATAACACAATCGGTTTATGTACAGATATTTCATTATGTAACATATTTAATTGCATATATTAACAAATTTGCCTTTTAAACTGTATTTTGCAACTATTTAATAACAATAATTTAATTTTTAGATCGATTTTATTATACATTTATTTTTAATAAATAATATAAAATACATACGTATTAAATGTGTTTTTAACTACTAATATAGATATTAAGTATATATAATTAAAATATAAGTTAAGAGTTTAACACGGCTCTGTAATATAAATATAAATTTAAAGTGTAAGATAGGCAATAAGAGCCAATCGCGGAAGACAGTGCGTTATCCCAACGAAACTAAATTTTTCGTTAGAATTAAATATCTGTGCACAAGGCACCAAATTTTACTTGGTCACGGCCAAGATTTTAAAATGTGAAATAATCTCATTTTTGAGATTTAATTTCAATAATCCTTTAACCCCCTACGGAAATAAATAAATCCAAGAGAAAAATATAGATCCGAAAGTCGCTGAATCGGGAATCGGACTCGAGACCTTTCGCTTGCCGGGCGACTGCTCTTCCAACTGAGGCTATTCAGATCCTTTATCCGAAAAAATTTAGTTTCGTTGGAAAAAAAAAAAAGATAAAGTAAAGCATATTTATATTGAAATATTTATTTGTCTTTTTAAATTTTATATTGTGTTCTACGTTATTTTATTATATTTTACTATTATTTCATGTTATTTTTTTCTTTACTTTTTCATTAACTCACCTTTTTGCTTACCTTTATTTTTAATTTTATATTATTTTCTGTCTTTTTCTTCCAATTTTACTTTTTCCTCCATTATTTCCTTCTTCCGTTTAAAGTAAAATTGGAAGAAAAAGACAGAAAATACTATCAAATTTTAAAATAAAGGTAAGCAAGAAGGTAAGTTAATGAAAAAGTAAAGAAAAAAAATAACATGAAATAATAGTAAATAATAATAAAATAACGTAGAACACAATATAAAATTTAGAAAAATATTTCAATATAAATATGCTTTATTTTATCTTTTATTGTTATATATAACAATATTATTAATAATTTTTATATTTTTATTAATTTTCGGTAAGTTTTTAAATTAATATTTTGCATTATTTATTACATTATTTACTTTATATTATTTTACAATATTTATTATATCTTTTTGTATTTGTATTTAAATTTTTATTATATTTTTAATATTTTTGCAGGAAATAAATATTTTTATATGTATAATGTATATATGTATACAAAAATGTGTGTATTAATAATTTAAATTGTAGTAAAAAAAGGATTATTTTGTTACTTTTTATGAAATTACTTTTTCCATATCGTAAAGTGTAAAAATTATACTATTTGATAAAACATGAATAGTTATTTAAAAATTTGATTATTTTTAAAAGATAAAATATATATACAAGTTGTTTTTAAATTATAATGAATATTTTATTCTAAATAATACAAAATAGTAAGAATAGCAAATATGTAAATGTGCGTGTGGGAGTATGTGTGCATACTAAAATCGACAAAAATAATTGATAAAAATAACACAATCGGTTTATGTACAGATATTACATTATGTAACATATTTAATTGCATATATTAACAAATTTGCCTTTTAAACTGTATTTTGCAACTATTTAATAACAATAATTTAATTTTTAGATCGATTTTATTATATTATACATTTATTTTTAATAAATAATATAAAATACATACGTATTAAATGTGTTTTTAATACTATACTAATATAGATATTAAGTATATATAATTAAAATAGTTCTTGCTTCAAAACATAACAAAATTTATAAACGTGTAGTATATAGTGATGCATTGTAAATTTAAAAATCATTATAACTTAAAATTAGTAAAGAAAAAGTCCAAAATCATTTATCTTGAACTCTGGTCTTCATCGTGAAAAGCCGAATAAATTGTGGATGTACAGCACGGACATGAACCAAAAGTGGCTCTTTTACCGACATCGAAAGTGGATGTGGCCATGTAGTTCCGGGCGACCGTAAAATGGATGTACGTGACGCTAGTGCGCAGCCTAGAAAAAACATCGTACGAAAATTGACGGCCTGGCGCCTCTCGCCTCTCATTCTTCTCTCTGCTTCTACACTTGTCTATATTCTGTGACATAACCCCCAAAATATTTGATAGATTTGGTTGTGTACAGTGATAAATAAGTCGAAAAATGTCATTAAAAAGAAAATTGACGCAGACTGATTTGCGTAAAGCGATGAGCGAGCACAAGAAGAGGATCGGTACAATTAAAAGATCGACTCACCATTAGCAAAATATCCTTTTGATATTAATTTTGCAAAAATTTACAACGTATTTTTAATCCTTAAAATAGTCACATTATTACATAATTTTGATTATAATCTCAAATCAATTAAGAATAAATGGTTTTTAATTATATTATATTTTATCCATTAAAAATATATCTCTGTTTAATTTTAATTAAGAATTTTCAGAACTTTAACAATCAATAAAGCAACTTGAGTTAATATGAAAAGCATTAATTATAATATACATTTTATCAAATAATTATTTTTATTATTTTATATAATTCTGGTGACAATTGAGTTTGAAAATATCTTTAACTGATAAACACATATACAGATTCAGGTCAACTTATGTGCATTTTATGCAAATTGGTTGTACGCAGTGAAACAGTTTGGCCTGTTCATTTAAACTCCAAAACACATAAGGAAAATGTAGCATTAGCAAAAGTGGCAAAACTGGAAATGGAAAGCTTTGCAAAGACATCTAACGTTTTACCATTCAAAAGACCTTCTTCTCCATCTCAAGACAATTTTGCAAATAAGAAAATAAAAGGAATATTGAAAAATTCTAATCGTCCGGAAGTGCAAACAAAGTCAAGTTTATCAAAAGATTTCTTTCATAATAATAATTTAAATCAAGTAAATGATACATCTATGCAAAAATTAGAAAATGAAGATACTATAGCGAGTACTGCAGATGTGCAACACATGGAAACAGAAGTAGAGAAAATAAAGGATACAAATCCAGCTATTCTTCCAGAAGGATTTTTTGATGATCCAATAATGGATGCTAAAGTAAGATTGATATCAAATAAATATAACATTACCAAAATTTATTAACAAAATTTATTTAATAAAATTATATTAATTTAATATTTATTAGTATAAATAATAATAATACTTAATATATAATACAATAATAATAATATTTAAAATATTTAAATTCACGCTCTTATAAATATTAAATATCTAAACAATTAGTAAAAAGACCACTAAAGAGCATTAAATCTGGATGTAATATGAAATATTTTGTGTTTATTAAAGACAGTCAAATTTGGTATACGTTTCGGCTGTCACAGCAGCCTTTCTCAATACAAACATAAAAATAAAAATATAACAAATTGTAGTATAGAAATTAATTATTAGTATAAACATTAAACTTAAGATATGCGAATGAACGGTGTAAAAATTACATTTGCTCTGGTGTCGAGACTTTAGGACTATTTTGTTTAATGCTTACGGTGTTAATAATGTGTGAGACAAAGATAGTTAGAAATTATATACAACATGATATAAATTACATAAGTTAGAGATAATTGAAGACAATTTTCATTGTTGGAAGGCGATAAGATGCTTGTCAAATGATGTATATGTGTAGTCAAAGTCATTATTTAAAATCTCAATTTGTAATCATTTCTCAACTGAAGTAAAATAAAAAGTAAACTGTAGTCAAATGTTGTGTGTGTGGATGGTATAAGTATATTATGTTTCAACATCTTAGCACAAACAATTCTTAAGACATACTGAACAATAATATTTAATAAAATACAATAGAAAAATAGAAATTTTTAAATATTACAAATATTAATAAATAAATAAGTAAAATAAAGTAAAAAAGAATGAGTTCATAGAAACATTAGATATCAAGTACTATTTCATTGAAATGCAATAGCATATTCAATTAGACTATTCTTTTTCAATTTACTATTCTCTTTTTCTTCAATTACTCTTCTACTTTTCCATCTACTTTTTAATTTTTGTTTTCAGGTACGTAATGTTGAATATAAAGATCCTATTGAAGAAGAATGGGAAAAATTTCAAAAAGAAATTAAAGAAGAGACTGCGCAATCTGCACAGATTATTGCTGATGATCAGGAGGAAGCAACAACAGAAAGGCAATTGGATGAAATTGAAGAGCAAATTAGGCATTGGTCTAGGTAAATATATTTTCAGTATTTATATTTGAGAAATTAAATATGTATATATATATATACATATATTAAAAATTAATTTATTTATTAAAGGGTAATAGATCTTGCAAAACACATGGAACAAGTGCAAGGTACTGATAGAAAGCAAGAAAATATTGATGATGATGTATTAAGCAGTGATGAAGCAGAATTTGAGGAGTTTCTCGACTGGCGAGCAAAAAATTCGTATAAATAAATCATTTTATGTGTGTACAGTGATTTTGTAAATAATACTTTCTTGACAAGAAAACTATTTATTTAAAGTTACAAGTGTATTTTTCTTAATTATCTATACATATTTGCTGTAACTTTTCCTTAGCTATAAAAATTATTTTAAGATTGATAAACTTATGACATTTTCATGTTTTAAAGATTATTTGTTACATAGTCATTGCAAAAAATGTTAATGCATCTAATTAACTTTGTATTAAATTTTTGTTTGAAAAAAATAAACAACTTATTCATTATAATTTGTCTTTTTCGTATTTTCACGATTTATTTAACTTTATATATAAAGATTTCTTATTCTATTTATATATATTTCTGTGTGATATTTAAACCTTGTCAATTTGACTACTATTCTAGACTATTCTAGACTAAATAACTGTTAAGGAAAAGATCAAATTAATATAATTCTTGTACAGTGTGTATTAAGATTTTATTAAAATGAATTTGAAGAATCAGAATATAATAATAATAAAAGTTTTAGATACATCATTTGATATAGATTACTTATTAATCGTTGTAAGAGTATTAAACTATGTAATACGAAAAGTATAATATAAAGACATAAGATATGCTAAGTCGCTAATAAAATTAATATAGATATATGTAATTACGATATAGGTCATACATTATTTAATAATATCTGCTTTCATTTTGCACATATTCTTTACAAAATGAAATGAAAAATCAGAAGAAGTAGAAGTTATACAATATATTCATAACCAACACCTAATCATATTGTATTTATTAAATGCTATCAATATTTTTATTTGATTGCTTTCAAAGTATGCAATATAAATTGTTTAATGAGATCCTATATATATAAGTACGATACAATGTGATCAATAAGCGAGTTGCTTGGAAAATTCTCATTGCTGCCCAAAAATCCATCACTATATCGATATTTTTTTAAAGACTCTATATTGGTATAATTATAGTGTTAAAATATTTGTTTTTATTTCCAAATTTATTTGTCGCGTAAATCTGCATTTATGTTTAGATCAATATACAATTTGTCGTCAATACAATTTTATACACAGGGTGTCTCATTTAATTCGGGCACACATCTTGAATTTCTCCATTATATTCTAAAATACGGTAAAAAATGGAGGAAAAGATTATGTAAAATTTTATTATGAATATATACAAAATTTTTCTAGATTATATTTTTTTCTAAGAATTTTATTTTTAATAAGGCTAACGCGATTTTGTAATAGGACTATATATTTTTATTAATTATCGTATTTCGGAGATAAGAAATAAATTATTAAAAATTTTTTTATTGAGAAAAAAGAGGCTTTTGCAGTGCCATCTAGCTTGAACTTTGAAAAATTAAGTAACTGCCCTCAGTGTTCAATTGGATGTTTTTGAAGGCATCCAATATGTAACTTTTATGTAATCTTCAATATGAAAAATCCAGAAATGTATGAAAAATAGATTGTTTTTACGATGATTTTGTTTATAGATAATTATTTTTACCACTTAAGAAGATGCTGCCGTTGTTCTGTTTTACCGATTTTAAATTAGGTTAGATTAAGTTTACTTTTTATTGAATATACAGATTGAAAAATCCTCCACAATGAAAGTACTGATAATAATGAATGGGAAGCGCTGTCCGACAACTAATTTTTGCTGTTTTATGCCTCGACATCGATTTCGTACGCAATTATACATACATAATTAATTCAAGTACTAATCTTTTGATACAGGCTTTTAAACTCTTAATTTTTATTACTTTTGTATTATTCTTTGTATTATTCATGTCATCTCTATTGGGAGCGCCATATTTTGTGCACAAATAAACTGCAGAACTTTTGCATCAAATAAGTATTGTTATCAGCTGATGCAAGAGGCCAATAAAAAAACTGTAATTTTTAACTTGTATTGTTTTTTATACGAAATTACAGCACTTCCCGTTCATTGTTATCAATATTTTAATTGTGAAGAAGAATTTTTCAATTTATATATAGCCAATAAAAAGAAAAGCCCTTGAACTCAAAGTCGGTAAAAAAGTTATGATCAGCATCCCCTTAAATATGCATATTTCCTTTGAAAATTTAAATATAGCTTCGACAATTACCCAACATTATCCGACGTTATCTAAGTAGCAAATTAAGCAAACTGATGTTATTGGATATCGAAATGACGTATGCTTGCTACCTTAGTGTTTTTATACGAGGTTTCTGAATTATGGCCGATTTTTCCAACTTCTCAGTAAGTTTTACTTGACAGATAGCATATTTTCGTCTTTTTCAGATAAGTTATAAAAAGAAGACAAAGGTGCTACTTGTCCGGTAAATCTTACCAAGAGTTGGAACAACCGATCCTTAGAGATATAATTGAATTATACATATATAGGTATTAAAGGTAACTGAACTTTTTTTTATCGAATCATTTAATTTATAGCCCAGTAAGCAAAATGCGCGCAAAATGTTAACAGATTGATAACAAATTTTACATGAATGTTGCCAGCAAATTGTCATCCGTTATATTCATAGGATAATGATTTGTTAGCAGAACCTGCTTACAGAATCTGACAGCAGATTAACAATAGAAACCGAGAAAAATCTTGAGATCAGATTGTGTGCGCGCAGATCCTGCTCGGTTTCTGCTTTCTGCTAACAATTTGACCTATAAAGTCATATGTTAGATTCTGTCGGCAATTTGCTGTCAGATTCTGTGAGAATAGTTCTGCTCGATTGTTGACACCAATTTGTTGATTACATCAGTAATATAATTACTTCTGCAACAAATCTGTAATCTCTTTTTTATGATAACATTTGACATCAAACATTTATTGGCATGATCTGATATCGGCAGACTATCTGATTTGGCTCCTGGGAGCATTTTAAATGGACAAAAATATGCAAAAATTTTTGATCATTGAGTTATGAGCTATTGAAAGAAATTCTTATAGTTGAAAAGTATACATATATATACGAGGTGTGGCAATAAAGAAACCGGACTCATGCTCTAATCCTTTATTGAAAAAAAATCAGACAATTGAAATGTTGTCCCCTTCAATGTAGTCCCCTTCCCGATCCCTACACCGCTCCATGCGAATTTTCCATTTTTGGAAGCAGTGCTGCAGGTCTTCTTGTGTTATGCTGTTCAAGAGTTGCGTCGCTTTTTTTTCATTGCATCCACGGACTCGAATCTGGTTCATTTGAGCGCAGTTGACGAAAAACAACATTCCAGTGATGGAACATCCACCGTACTCGCCGGATCTAGCACCGTGCGACTTTTTTCTCTTCCCGAAAGTCAAATCTGCGCTCAAATGAACCAGATTCGAGTCCGTGGATGCAGTGAAAAAAAAGCGACGCAACTCTTGAACAGCATAACACAAGAAGACCTGCAGCACTGCTTCCAAAAATGGAAAATTCGCATGGAGCGGTGTAGGGATCGGGAAGGGGACTACAATGAAGAGGACAACATTTCAATTGTCTGATTTTTTTCAATAAAGGATTAGAGCATGAGTCCTTCTTTCTTTATTGCCACACCTCGTATATATATATATATATACAATATATATATAAACGTGTAACGTACACGTTATATTACCTGTTATATTCCGTTTTATTATAGCAATGTAACAATTATATATCGGTGTTTGCTGGGATATATATGAACAATATATAATGGATGTCCGCCTTTCAATATATTTATGTAGCTGTAAAATATTAAATAAAAATTTTTTATAATTATATCTATTCTCATACATTTTTGCATATAAAAAAAGTCATATTATAGATATGGATCATTAAATTGATCTTGATCTCAGTTATTAATTACAATGCGATAATAAAAATTGTAATTTATCATATAAAACAAAATGATCGATGACCTTATATATTGAAGTCTCAAAAAATATCATCTTGAGAAAATTTTTGTTTATTATAATATTTTTTCCTTTTGACAAATAATCTTTTCCTTCGTTTATTTTTCAGATATTATCAAAACTTAATGAAGATATTCTAGATGCCCAAATTATGTGTACATACAAGATTTCACTTAAATAAGTAACAGCAGAAATATTTTGGATGGACAGAGTAGATTATATATATATATATATATATATATATATATATATATATATATATATATATATAATCTTTTTGTCATTTTAAATATACTTTTGTTAAAAAATACTATAATCACAATGTGTCGTGAGTCATGTATGCAACTATCATCAACAACGATAAAAGAAGGCAGACAGAAATACTCGTGAACAATATAATATATAAATGCAAGCATAAAGTTGAAGAATATACATATAATATACAATAAATTTTAGCGCGATTCTCAAAAGCTTATAATAATAGAATATTAATATATATATATATATATATATATATATATATATATATATATATATATATATATACATACCGCATAGTCTTTCAAGAGCAAGCAATGTTAACGCTCAGATTATAAATCTTATCGTTATATATAGGTAAGAAAAAAGCACTTATTTCGTTGACTTACATTATTATACAGTAATTAATGTGTTCATCTGTGTGTAAGTATATAGAAGTACAATATTATAGTATCAGTGCTGAAGTGATGATAGAAGACTCGCAAAAGTTCGTAAATTTGTAGGAGCATTAATTATTTTTCAAGATTATCAAAAAGTACCGTCGATTCTGCTTCACATGTTATATCATTGAAATGATCATCATTTATATATGCTTTGTCTTTCCTTATGCAAAATCGTTTACTTTATTGACGGTAATATAATCGTCATTTTACTGCCTAATTTCGGGACAATATAGTACTCTTATGCGCTTCTACGACAATTGGGACACTTGTGAAAATATCGAAATTAATCGATCAAAGTGAACCGATGAATAGAAAAATCTCGTTCATCAGAAATTCTGTAGACATGTTATAGAATATCGCTAATTTATCTTTTCTATTATCGCAATAACTTCTTTATATTATTAATAACTTTTCTTTTATTGTGTGTATATACCTAGGTAGCAAGCGTACGTCAT